CTGAGTCGGGTTGATTTCTGGTGTCCTTTATCAGCATACTTATGCCGTTTGTCAGCAGCACGGTTATGATACATGGGGTCCTGTCAAAGTCGACCCATTGCGTCGGGACTACATATTCTGGCCTGTAATGCACTAATGGCCAACCCATGACTGCCGGGTGCAACATAGCTCTTAGAACACACATATAGTCTGTTACACTTGTCTTCGCTTTAATTATTATTATAGAAACAAGGTGGGGGCAGGCAGTTGAAATCTCTGCAAAAGAAAACTTAGAAGGAACATTGATCAAGTCTTTATCAAGAAGAACGTGATACAAGTAAATACAGCAAAATGCATGTTGTTTAACGTTCGCCGTTCAGATTTTCCACCTTCTTATACCGCAGCGAAAGAAATATTTCAAATCAGCCAAAGAAAGTCCTTTTGCGCACAGAAAGCCAAGTCGGTGGTCAACAAAATGAACATATTAAGAGACGATGATACAACAAAATTTTCCAAATTTCAGAATCGCAGTATGAAAAGTAAAGGCTGGGAGCAGCTCATTCGGTAGATCAGAATATCACATCTTTGACGGCTTGAGATGTGCTGAATGGAATGAGGACAGATTAGAATTGGAGACTCCTTCACAAAGTCACTTAAGGAGCGAAAAAAGACCGATAGATAGGCAGCTAGGTACACGTCATATCTGGCATGCTCGGGCCTTCGAACTCAGACCATGAAGCATGTTCAATTAACCGGAAACCCGCGGCCATTACTGAATTCCCTGGAGCTGCCCCTGCCCGAAAAGAATAACAGACTGCGAACAGCAATGCATCCGATGAGAAGGAGAGATGATTTTGATCCCTTTATTTTGAACTGGTGATTACTATTTGAACTACAAGCATTAGAATTTCACTGACTCTCAAAGACTGAACGGAAACTCGGCTAATCATTGTCAAACGAGAATATGATATTTCTGATTATCAAGCAATAGTACTTTTCTGGGCAGTAGGTTGTAATGTTCCTGCGCCTCTTAGATGTGCCTGATTGAAATCCCGTTCTCGCGTAAAATTTTACTGTTAAAACTGCTAATTCCTTTTGA